CCCCCATCATCCTTCTCTCTCTTTTTCTCTCCCTCGTCCAGTATTCCCCTCCCCCTCATCCCCATGTTCTTTTTACTTCCCTCTTCATTGACCAGTTTTCATCTCAATACCTCCCCTAATAAATAACCCCCTACTCTGAACATTAATGTGTCTGATGTCTAATATACAACAATGCATAATCCCTCCTACAATTACTGTAAACATTAGATTATGACTATTGATAAAGACATTAATTAGCGTTATGACTGGTACCTGCCACACCTAATGGAACAAGCCATCAGCTGAAGGTCCCATCTGGTTGTGGGCAAACAGAGAACAGTGGTACAAACAGTGTTACTATCACACAACAGTGCTAATTATCATATAAACAACTTCACAGTGATCAGTCCAATAACCTTATATAAAAACATCTTACAACAATTTTTTTCACAGCAATCAAAGGTCAAGGTTAACTTGAAGGTATTTAATTCTGGTGAGTGCTGTCACAAGTCGTCTGACCTGTTGGGTGCCGTACCTGCGTATGCTGTGCTGGTGCCTGAGGAACATTGTAAATTGTCTTGGGATGTGCGTCCAAATAACGCCGAGTATATTACGATTCTTGTGGATTTCTGGCAAGTAATGGTAAGCTGGTCTCCCTGGCAAACTGTCTGGTTCGTGAAGTTGTCTGAAAAATACATATAATTTGTTATAAGTGTTTGTTTAACTACAGAGACTGGCCAACCCATGATGATGTGATTGCCAGGGGGATCTTTTATGGATAAAACAATGTGTCAAACTTTTATACTACAGTGCATTCTATCAAGCTTGGCTCAATTGATTCCTACTATAACTGAAAGGGGTAGGGGAGACATCATAGGGAGGAAAGAGAAAGGAGAAGGGAGGTAAGGTAAGGATATTGCTGTGGAGAAGGATGGGAGAATGTAAACTTGGGAAAGATTGAATGTCTCACTTACAAAAAACATTAATGCAAAGTTATCATCAAAGACAGTTTAATTGGGATTGAGACTGGTCTCAGCAGTTCATGGTTACAACTGTTCTCCAAGCCAATACAAAACCATAATATCTTTAATTCTTTACAGAAGTCACAAAATACACTTCTTTCATCACATCAGAGTACACCGTGGATCAGGAGCCAATAGAGAGAAATTTTATATACACCGTGGATCAGGAGCCAATAGAGAGAAATTTTATATACACCGTGGATCAGGAGCCAATAGAAAGAGATTTTATATACACCGTGGATCAGGAGCCAATAGAGAGAAATTTTATATACACCGTGGATCAGGAGCCAATAGAGAGAGATTTTATATACACCGTGGATCAGGAGCCAATAGAGAGAAATTTTATATACACCGTGGATCAGGAGCCAATAGAAAGAGATTTTATATACACAGTGGATCAGGAGCCAATAGAGAGAAATTTTATATACACCGTGGATCAGGAGCCAATAGAGAGAGATTTTATATACACTGTGGATCAGGAGCCAATAGAGAGAAATTTTATATACACTGTGGATCAGGAGCCAATAGAAAGAGATTTTATATACACTGTGGATCAGGAGCCAATAGAGAGAAATTTTATATACACCGTGGATCAGGAGCCAATAGAGAGAGATTTTACATACACAGTGGATCAGGAGCCAATAGAGAGATTTTATATACACTGTGGATCAGGAGCCAATAGAGAGAAATTTTATATACAGTGTGTATCAGGAGCCAATAGAGAGAAATTTTATATACACTGGGGATCAGGAGCCAATAGAGAGAAATTTTATATACACCGTGGATCAGGAGCCAATAGAGATAGATTTTACATACACAGTGGATCAGGAGCCAATAGAGAGATTTTATATACACCGTGGATCAGGAGCCAATAGAGAGAAAGTTTATATACACTGTAGATCAGGAGCCAATAGAGAGAGATTTTATATACACTGTAGATCAGGAGCCAATAGAGAGAGATTTTACACACACTGAGGATCAGGAGCCAATTAAGAGATGTTTTATATACACTGTGGATCAGGAGCCAATTAATAGAGAGATTTTATATACACTTTGGATCAGGAGCAAATAGAGAGAGATTTTATATACACCCTGGATCAGGAGCCAATAGAGAGATTTTATATACACTGTGGATCAGGAGCTAATAGAAGGAGGTTTTATTCACACTGCGGAATATGAACCAATAGAAATAGGTTTTACACAATGTTGAACACGACTGTGAGCCAATAGGAGTTCTAGGTACAAACTGCTGTAAAACAGCTAGAATATTTTAGTTATGTACTCCTGCCGTGTCCCAATATAATTAGGCTGTCAAACGCAACTCAAGTAAGTACAACTCCTATTGATTCTACATCTATTCTCAGAACCAAACATTTCCATTTCTATGGTCTGATTAGCAGGGCAACTGTACAAATCAAAAGTCACCATTTTGCTTTAGTTTACAAATAATAAATTTGTAAAGGAAATATCTGAAAACCTTTCTGACATCAGAAATAAACAGAGTAGCAAGACATCTTTTAGCCAACAGTTTAAACAATTGTTAAAAGTGTCCAAGCTGTAAGTCAAACTAGATCCTAATTCACTGGAATGACACTCCATCATTTGTAATGTTTTCTTAAGACAAAATCAATATCTTACATTAATTCCAGAGGTTTTGTGTGACAGAACACGATGATATGAGGTTTGTGTTCTTTACAAACCCTAGCACTGGTAATGCCGGTTGTGTAACACATGCAATACCATGACAACAGTGTGCATGCTAGTGTAACAGGAGAGGAAAATGTCACAGAGCTAGACCACGATTCAAACCTGTGGTCTCCATACTCCTGACAGACATTCTAACATACTGAGCTACCTGGTCACTGCCAGTTCTGCTACACACGTACTACCAAGTTCATGTAATGACTGATTCCTCTTAATCAGACTTTTCTCATTAAAAAAAACTTTTAACATACAGATGGAATAATATGCAGGTTTAGCAATATGTTCTCCAGGCAAAACATGACAGTTTAAACCACTTCACAAAACTAATGGAGACAACAACATCACTGTAATGGTACAAACCAATTCACAATAGTAATCATAAAATGACCTAAACTGCAGCACAATGCAACATGCTGGAAAATCGATAATTTTACAAATATAGATTCAAAAGTTCGGCACATTATGCCCAGATTTAGTTTTGTAACATGCTGAAAGATGTCGATTCAGCATTCTACCATCTAAATAATAGCTGTACTAAGTCTCCTGTCAACTTCACCCTATATTGAAGCGGACATGACTGCATGCTGATGAACCTCACATTACAATCTCACATTACAACCAATAGTCCCCCAGTCCAGTGTTGGTCGCCCTGCTGTATCTTAGCATGGAATTCAACTTGCAGCGTTAAAGCCTTAACTTTGATTTATTCTGAACATTTTCTATCACCTAATATTTATTGTACTGAATGCTGTAATTGCATATGTTTACCATAACATTTCCCTAAATAAGAAATAACTTGACACTGTCGAATAGATCCCACAATCCATGGAGTTCTGGCCATAGTTCTCTTACCAAATTTGTCATTCTGTGATTTTAAATCACATTTTGAAAATATACATAAAAAATAAAAAAATAAAATAAAAAAACTTCCTCATGAATTTTTCAAATCTCATTAAATTGAAAAATAAAAGTTGAAAAGAAGAAATACCAGTAACCTTGCCTATCAAGTATTTCTCGCTCATTAGTGTCATCTAGACAGAGTATTGTTTTGGAAAAAATGTCATTCCTAATTAATAAAGAACCATTTTATTTTTCTAGAACCAAAGCATTGAAACAATGTACAGAAAATTTGAATCTTGTTTAGCGTGACATAACAGCCATTCACCAGTATATGAAGTCAAATCTACATGGATATTCCTCTGTCGTTAATCTTATTAACACGACCTATACACTGATAACGAATGTGATTTGGCCATTAATAGATAACAAGACAGCAGATCATCATTCTTCAATTTCACAGATATCAGAAACGTAATTTACCCTTTAAAAACATTTACCTAGACTCCACAAGGAAAAGCGTATGGATGGGCGCAGTGCCAGAACTGAGTAGGAACTATATCTGTTACATCAATCACACTGCCTTTCCCCTCCAGATAAAACTTGATATGATCCAATCCCGTTATGTTACAGATGATGATGGCTTATGTCCCTCTAAAACACTTCCAATTTCACGCCAGCTCAGGCGGCCAGAGATCATCTATGTGTGCAACACCTAAGCTCTCACATACTGCAAACTTGTGTTGAGTAACTTTCATCCAATCTTTTCAAAACTTTGAAGACGAAAACCTGGACACTGATAAGGTATCTCTCCCTGAAAGTTTTTAGATACTTGTAAAATCAAAAGATGCATCTTACAAATTTTTATAGACAATGTATTTTTGATATCTTTGATTAGTTTTGGAAATATCTATGGCTGTTCAAATTTCTTTGTTCACAACACAATTTCATTTAGATCTGTCCAACAATATGTAATGATTGAATTGTGATGTGATACAAACAATATGTAATGATTGAAATGTGATGTGACAAGAGTTTAGTATCCAAAGAACCTAACAAACCCAGTTAGTTGATTGACAATCCATGCATAATTTACCTCAGAAAAGCATAATTTGCAAAACCTCCAGAATCAAAAATATTCAGTCTGCAAGCACACATTACCTGTCAGACTCAAGGTCATAGTAACTCTGACTGACCTTCACTAAAGATCAGACTCAAGGTTATAATAGCCCTGATTGACCTTCACTAAAGATCAGGCTCAAGGTCATAGTAGCTTTGTTTGACCTTCACTAAAGATCAGACTCAAGGTCATATTTACTCTGATTGACCTTCACTAAAGACCAATATCACAATTCCATTGTATTGATCTCCCCACTGTTGACAGTTGTTCCAGCCTGATACTGTAGAGGAAGGGATGAAACAGCTAGAATGGACAGCCATGACAGTTGTTTCAGCCTGATACTGTAGAGGAAGGGATGATACAGTTAGAATAGATCGACAGCCATGACAGTTGTTCCAGTCTGATACTGTAGAGGAAGGGATGATACAGTTAGAATGGACAGCCATGACAGTTGTTCCAGTCTGATACTGTAGAGGAAGGGATGAAACGGCTAGAATGGACAGCCATGACAGGTGTTTCAGCCTGATACTGTAGAGTAATGGATGATACAGCTAGAATGGACAGCCATGCCAGTTGTTCCAGCCTGATACTGTAGAGGAAGGGATGAAACGGCTAGAATGGACAGCCATGACAGTTGTTACAGCCTGATACTTGAAAGGAAGGGATGATACAGCTAGAATGGACAGCCATGACAGTTGTTTCAGCCTGATACTGTAGAGTAAGGGATGATACAGCTAGAATGGACAGCCATGACAGTTGTTCCAGCCTGATACTGTAGAGGAAGGGATGATACAGCTAGACTGGACAGCCATGACAGTTGGTCCAGCCTGATACTGCAGAGGAAGGGATGATACAGTTAGAATGGACAGCCATTACAGTTGTTCCAGCCTGATACTGTAGAGGAATGGATGATACAGTAAGAATGGACAGCCATGACAGTTGTTCCAGCCTGATACTGTAGAGGAAGGGATGATACAGTTAGAATGGACAGCCATAACAGTT